CCCCCCCAATTTTTGCACATGTCGAGGAGCGTGTCAGGCTACATTTCACTGTGTTTTTTACTTGTTTAACTATGCATGTGACAAATAAAGAACCTTGAAACAAACCCGGGATAGTAGATGTTTGCCTGTTGCAGACGACATGTGGAATATGGCTAAATCAAAACAAGAATGTTAACTAAGAATATGGACAAATGGTCTTCTCACCCACTTTGTCACAGCTGGACTCTTTCAACACTGAAGAGAAAGTAAAAACAGAAAGATTCTCGGGCAGATCTGTTTATGCAGGTGGACAGGTGTGACTGATTACCGTCACACTGAGGATTTTCAGGGAAGGTGTGCAGCTAAGAGAATAAGAGAGGACAGTAACACTTCTAAAATCCCTGAAAGAAGAACTCAAAGGATGGAGCTGCAGCCTGAATAATAATCTGTCCATATACTTTTGGTCGTGCAGCGTCTGAGTCGATCTGTGACGCAGCCGGAAACCTCGAGGTCGACGCCGTCGTTAGCTGTTATACTCTGCAGAGGACACACACACACACACACACACACACACACACACACACACACACCACCTCCTGACCTGGACCTTTACAGTGGGCTTGTATCTGCTCTCCTTTTGTCTCCGCTCAGATTGAATCTTCTTCTTCTTCGGTGCTCTTTCATCCTCATGTTTTGTCTGCACAGCTTTAAATAATTAAACATCCAGTAGGAGCTGTCTCAGATGGAGGACCACATGTTGTTGTTGTTACTGATTACAGTTACTGCCTGCTCTGAATGATCTGTCTCCGTCCTGTAGTACCGATCATCCCAACATTCCTCTATGCCATCGAGCATCCGAGTCCAGAGCCACAGACCGCCCAGCCCTCCCTGCTCCCTCTGCGCGGCCTCGATGCATCACGTCTGGGCACTGCACCCTCACGGCCCCCCTCCTCCGCCTTCAGCCTCCAGACCTCCAGACGGACCTCCCAGCGCCTCCACCTGCCTCGGCCCAGTACCGGTGCACCGGTCCAGGTTACAGGGCCGACCCTATCAGCTCTGGTGTCCCTGTTTGATAACTCGACCTTCAGCCTGACTGACGCGAGCGCCGGCACCGAACCGGCGGACCGGACCTCAGTGACCGCGGATGTGCAGGGCAACGAGACCGAAGTAGGTGGAGACCACCGATACCTGACCAGCCCATCACTTCATGATCAATAATCTATCAGCTCTGGTTCCTACTGTTCCCCTCTGTTTCCTTTCTCTTTCCTTATTTTGTTTTCTCGTTTCCTTTCTTTTGTCTCCTCCTCTCTGTGATTAATCACCTTGCTCTCTCTGCCCATTTCCTCACTTCTCTCTAAACCTTATTTCGCTTCCTTGTTTTGGCTTGTTTCACACATTTCCTTTCCTTAGGGCTCTTCCTGTCTTCAGGACAGTTTGTTTCTGGAAGAAGAAAATGTTCGAGTTGGTTTGTTGTTTGCTTCTAAAGCTATCATCCAGCTGCTCGTCAACCCCTTCGTTGGTCCACTGACTAACAGGTAATATTATAATTAGCAGTAATAGTAGTATTGAAAGAGAACGTGCAGACAGGCTGAACCTTCTTGTTCTGAAACTGAAGAATGTTTTTCTGTCTGCAGGATCGGGTATCACATCCCCATGTTTGCTGGTTTCATCATCATGTTTGTGTCAACCATCAGTAAGATGTTACACACACAGACACACACACACACACACACACA